GTGGGGAGTTAGCACAGAGACAGCACAGGCACAGCCAGTGAGGGGAAGAACTCAACCCAGAGTTTGTGGGACAGGAAAAGCTTTGTCTGCAGAACTTGGAGGCAAGTGTGCAGGTCTGAATGGCCTTGGGTTCTGTGGCCAAGTCCACTGTAACCTTTCCCACAAATGGACTTCAGAGGCCAAGCCCAGATTTGGCAAGAGGTGGTTTGAATGAAACTGGCCCCCACTGGCTCATAGGGAGCGGCACTGTTAGGAGGTGTGGTCTTGTCGGAGGAAGTGTGGCTTTGGTGGAGGGGGTGTGTCATTGCGGTTGGGCTTGGAGGTCTCAGATGCTTAAGCCTGGCCAGTAGGTCACACTCTTCCTGTTGCCTGCGGATCCAGATGTAGAACCCTCAGCTCCTTCTCCAGCACCGTGTCTGCCTGCACGATGATAGTGGACTAAACCTCTGAACTTCTAAGCCAGTCCCAGCGGAATGTTTTTCTTTGTAAGAGTTGTTGTGGTCATGGTGTCTCCTCACAGCAATAGGAACCCTGACTAAGACAGCAAGGTACTTATAGCCCGGATCTATGGCCACCTGAGTCTACGAAGCTCATTGTAAACCTGACCGCTGGAGTTGGTCCACTCCATCCCAGGACTGTACCGTAACCTTGGAGATGAAATCCTAACTACTCCAAGTGCATGCCAGGAGTGACCCCGGTCCACAGCTGCAAAGTAGGCAAGCGAAGAGCCCCGATGCCCGTCAACTACGTAAGAGAGATGCTGGGAAGTCAACTGAAAATCCTGGGGCCACCATCTCCCTTTGTAAATCAGCGGGCACATTTTCTAGACAGGAAGCAATGTTGGGCTTCCCAGAGAAAGTACAAGAAACACGTTTAAGTGCCTGTGTTGGCAATGTGGGGCTGTGATACCCACTCTGAGGCCACATGGTGATTTAAATGATTCTTAGCCCAATAGTAGGACTTGGGTGCAGCTTAGTGGCAAAGAACTTATCTACCATTATGAGGTCCTAGTTTCAATCCCTGTAGTTCTTTGATGATGATGATGGTGGTGGTGGTGATGATAGTGATTGATGATGATGATAGTGATTGATGATGATGATGTTGATGGTGATGATGATAGTGATTGATGATGATGGTGATTGATGATGGTGATGGTGACTGATGATGGTGATGATGATGATGATTGATGATGGTGACAATGGCAAACACTGGTTAGGGCTGGGGCCATACCGTGGTAGTACTTGCCTAGCATGCATGAGGACTTAGGTTCAAACCCAAGTTACTGCCAGAAAGAAAGAAAAAATGGATGTATGGATCCAGCTTAGTTGATAGACTGCTTGCCCAAAGCTTGAGGTCTCATTCCCAGCACCACAAGGTGGTGCATGCCTCAAATCCTATCACTCAGGAGGGGAGGGATCAGGATAGGGGGTCATCCTCATCTACCTACATCCTCACCCTGGACTATGTGAGACCCTGTTCCAAAACAAACAAACAAACAAACACACGAACAAACTGATAATACAATTTCAAGTCAGCTCACCGTTTCTCCAGATGCATTTCACATCCTCTCAGCTACACAGCAGTGATGTTCTCAATAGCTCCACTGGATAAAGTCGTCTTACGGTATTAAGTTAGACATCTGCCCAACTGCCATGGACAGTTCTCCAGCCTCGTCAACCGAGGGTGTGGTCAGACATCAAATCCACAGGAAAATACCCCACACCAAAGCTCAGGTTCCTGTGTTCCCTGGCACCTGACCTATCTTTTGACCCTGATGCCTCAGCATGAAGATGCTCCAGGCTCTCAACTTCCTGGAAACTGCTCCCCACAGAGTCCTGGGCTTCAGGAATTAAGTCCCTTCTCCTGTCCCGGCCACACACTCCCTACAGCGCTGGCTTCTGTTTGCTTTGCAACGCATGACTTATCCTGTGGCAGCTGCTACTACCAACATTTTCTGGGTCATCACCGCTGCTGTCGCCTCCTTTCCTGTGTCCCCTGAGAAGATTGAGAAAATCTACAAGAACCTGGGGACAGGCCAGAGGCACCTACCATCTTCTGGAGGTGAAAGAATATTCTGGCAGCATAAGAGACCCAGAGCCAGAAGGTGATCTTGACTTCAGACACTGGCCTCTGACTGTCTACTAATTTATTTTAAGCTTGAGAACAATTTTATTGAGTTTAAAAGAAGCACCACAGGGCAGGCAAGCTGTGAATCTCAGCCGTTGTCTGGAGGAGGAGGATGGAGATGAGGAGGAGACAAAAAAATCAGGCTGTTAGTAAGCTGCCACATGGCAGAAGCTGGGGTTGGGACATAATTGGATAGAAAAAGAGTAAAAAAGCCCAGGGTGTCCCAGAAAGTACGGCTAGGACAAGCATCTGAAAGAAGAAAAAAGAGACATAACGAAGAAGAAAAAGAAGAACGTAGGCTCCTCTGAGTAAGCGAGGGAAGTGAGCCCAGCTGCATACCCGTGGCTCCGGGAATAGTCATCCTGGCTGGTTCTAGGAAATAAACCAGGTACACAAATATTATACTCTCTCGCTCCTGCATGAAATAGAAAATGTTGCTCTCAGACAAGCTGGAACAGAAGGGTGGCTGTCAGAGAAGTCAGGGAGAATGAGAGGGGTGGGGGAGGTAGTTGGAGCAGGAGGGCAGCGAGCTACGGACTGTGTCTCAACCAGCTAGAAGAAAGGCTCCCCACTGTTTGCCCCGTGAAGCTGTCATATGGAGGAGGAGGACATCTCAAGGTACTCCATCCACATGCACGATAGCTGTTTCTTTTGATCTATCAGTTAAAAGATTTTTTGGAGACAGTGTCACTCTGCCGTTCAGGCTTCCCTAGAACTTGTAATCCCCCTGCCTTAGCTTCCGAAGTGCTATGACATAAGCAAGCACCACCATACCTGCCCTGGAGTTATTTATTATTTAATAATTAATAGCAATAATAAAGATTGCCAGTCACTATTTGCTTAATCTTGACATCCTGGAAATTGCCAAATTGCAGCTCAGTTCTTTTGGGGAAACTGAAGCTGACATTCTTAGAGAGCTGTTTCTTGTGTGAGTCCTGCGAGGGCTTTAAGATTAATTAGTCTCACCTTTGCAAAGGACGTCATGGGCCTGACAAATTCTTTCCAGCACAGCCCTATTTTAAAAGGTCCCCAATCTTTTCTTGAAGGTTGCTCACAGCCTAATTGCATTTCTTTCCAATTGCTTCAGCAGAAAATCCAATTGAGAACTTATCTTGAGGTAGAAATACTGTCTTCCTGCTTTTAAGGGAACTGCCCGTGCGATCGTGAGCTTAGACCGGCAGAACAAAGAGAGGAAGGCTGGTCACTTCCGATTGCATGGCACCCACGGATTCATCATACTTTCCCTGTTCCGAGCTCTTGACTCCGCGAACCAAGTGCTTTCAAGAAAAGAGAAATGGAAGCTGTCATTTCCTATCGTCTCAAAGACAGTCGAGCCCGGGAAAGATGAAGGGAGGCGGAGGGGACTGTGTTCAGATGACTAAGCATGCATCTGACCTGGAAAAGACTCCTGTCCTCTCTGCGGAAGGGAGGGAGCCCAATTAGGGGCATGTATGAACAAATGACATTACCTCACTGAGGGAGAGAGGAAAATGCTCTCTCCGTGCTAACAATGACCTTGGGAGAAAATCTGTTAACTAATCTGTGAAGAATTTGCAACCCCAGTGAGTTGCCTCCCTGCTATGAGCTCCAAACTTCCTTCCTCAGAACTTGACCTCTGATCCAGTGCTGCCGGACCCTGGGAAAGTCAGGTGGGTGCTGGTCAGCTGGGGAGGAATCACATGAGCTGACCAGTTTTTCCTCTGGAGTCTCCGTTCTCTCACCCAGCTTATACACAGAGATAATGTCTCCTTTTTTTTTTTTCAGTTAAAAAGCTATTTATCATTTATTTTGTGTGTGCATGTGCCATGGTATTCATGTGGAGGTCAGAGGTCAACTTGCAGGAGTCAGTTCTCTTTTTCCAACATGGGGGGTCCAGGGATCATCCAGTGCCCTTACCCACTGAGCCGTCTCGCTGGCCCTTGGGGTAACATCTCATTAGATGAATTGGGAAGAAAAAAAGGATAAAGATTCATTGTGTTGTGCTTTTATAGGAGGTAGAAACTGAGGCTGTGAAGTAATACACAGATCACAACCATTATGAGTGGGTGCAGCCCAGGGCTTGTGCACTGGCTTCTGGCCCTCGGGGATGTATGAACTCCCTAGAGGCCCTTCTTAGCTGGCTCTTTCCCTGAGGCTCTGAGTGCTGGCGGGGCCACATCCCACTTGTTGCTACGAGTGTCTTGGAGTTGCTGGCCCTGGATTGCTTCATTATTCCATTGCCATGGTTCACGGGTGCCCCAAAGCATGCCTGCACTTTGCCAGGCTCCGTTCCAAATGAAGTCAGCTCCCTCCAGCAGAACCAGCAGGGCAGCCTCTGTCTTGGAGCAGAAGTCCTCTCTAGCGTCCCTGAGCGGAGAATCGACACCTCTCCCGGAGTGGCACCGGCCTGGGAGAGTGCTGACGCAGGGCTGGGATGGCAGGCCCAGGTCTCTTCACCCTTCCTATCTGCAATCCGTGCTCCCAATGGAGCTTGCCTGAGGATGAGGAAGGCCTCAGGAGCATAACCCAAAGCCTGGGAGAGATTGGGAGTGGGGGCGTTGGGAGAGTCTCATCCAACCTAGGGTTTCCAGTGGCTTGCCCTTAACAGGATGAAACTACAGCCCTTGACTGGGGCCTGGAGAGAGGGAACCCTGTCTTCTTGGTTGCGGCTGCCCGGGGGTACAGCTCCAGTCACAGGGAGCTGGGAGGTCATCTGTGGCCCACACGATAGGTTGACCCTGTTCCTACTGAGATCAGTGGGGGGTTTTGTTGTTGTTGTTTTGTTTTTCTTGGAAATGTTTTCCATTTACTCTGCACCCTCAGGGTAATTTCCAGTGATTTTTAAGTGATGCTTTGTGGTTTTGCGTAAATAGTTTTCAACAGTTACACCAATAGTTGCTTCAGAGGCAGAGGGTGTGGGGAGTTGTTTCCAAAGCCCCTAAGGCAGGACCCATGCCATCCTGTGGAGCCCTGCGCTGCCTGCACTGAACAGAGGGAACGTGATACGCCTTTGCGGTGGAACTTGGCATTGCGTGTGTGTGTGTGTGTGTGTGTGTGTGTGTGTGTGTGTGTGTGTGTGT